CAAGAGGAGAGGGGAGGCCGTTCCCAGGAGAGCAGTGCCCAGGGTCCATGCACCCCCAGCTCAGCACCCAGAGGGGCCAGCAGGGCGAGGGGATGGTCACTGCACCAGGACAGTGGTGGCATTCACCACGGTGGCCGCGGGTGCCACCAGCTCCACCAGCGCCTCGTACGTGCCCACCACGAAGCCCACGAAGCCGAAGAGGCTGATGGCGATGTCCTTGGCAATGACAAGGGGGTGCATGCCCTCCGAGTAGTAGGTGGCAATCTCCAGCAGCGGGGGGAAGATGAGAGCCAGGGCGCTGCTGCTGATGGAGCCCACCAGGGAGATGACGAGGTCCAGGCGCGGGATGAGGATGGCCAGCACGCCTGGAGGAAGAACAGACACAACATCAGTGCTGCCACCTGCCACAGAGGCTCCTCCCCATGTCAAAGCTAGCAGAACCCCACCCAGGAATGCCACTGGCTGGGTTCCACCTCTGCCCTCCTCCCTGACAGAAGACAAAGCTGCATATTTTTCCGGTAACTCCTCCCCAAGCAGCAATTAAGCTGTTAAATTAACAAGGCTTTTTGTCGCCCTGGGCGCCACCAGAGCGAGCTGCAGGGCTGAGCAGGATGGGCGCTGTTGGCTGCCAGCATTCCCGACCCCCCTGTGCGAGCCAGCACTGCTGCTCCCCACACCTGGAGAGCCATAAAGCCTCAGAAACCCCATAAAAGCAGGAGAAGGGGAGAAAAAGGCATCTCCCCCCACCCCAAATCAATCCGTGTGGTTTGCGTGTGTTTAGAGCTGCTCCAGCAGCAGCACGCCCACGGCACAGCCCGGGGGAGAACATTTGTTAGGACTCATTTGTTAGGTGAAAACTGCAGCCAAGGAAAATCCCCCTGGGAGACTCCTGACAGCTTGAGCTTAGCAGTGTGAGCTTCAGCTTTGGGATATTTCTGCTCCTCCTCCTGCATGGCTCCAGGAGGGGACAGAGGGATGTCACAACAGAACCCCCTGCAAGCAAAGCAGACTTCAGTGCTTAACCAGTGACCAAGAGAAATAAATTGGTTTATTGCTTTGAAAGCTTTTCTGCTTAGAAACAGGAGACACCTAGAAGGGCCTAGGAGGAACAGCCCCTGAGGAGAAGGGACATCTCAGGGCTCCTTGTTGGAGGGATTTGTTCTCTCCCTGGCAATCAGCTATAGAGAGCCTCCCTAAGCCAAAGATCATCCATGGAACTACAGAAGGAAAGTTTGGGAGACTGACTGTGACACTACTGCAACACTGCTGTTATCTGGATAAGCCTAGAGGTAAACCAGCCCTTCACCAAGGGAAACAGCAACAAAGGTCCTGAGCCAGTTTATCCTGGTGCTCAGTCCTGAACAGAGCCAAAGGAGTGCTCTGCTGCAAGCAGCATCCCTGCTCCAGCAGCCTCTGAGGAAAGTAGAGCAGCTCCCCTTCAACAGCATCCTCAGCCCACCCCACACTGCTCTTTGGACTCAAAAGTAAACAAAATTATTAACTCCCCTCTAAAACAAGCAGATTTGAAGCACCAGCTGCAGTCCTCAGCCTCCGGGGAAACGGTCTGATTTCTGCAGGTATTAATTCAAAGAGGTTTTAAGCATGCTGGTTTTGAAGTTTAAGCTTGAAAGAGACCCATACACCAGATTGCATCCTCTCTTTAGGAGCCAAAGCTCTGGTGGGGGCTTGTTGTGTGGCCACACAAGCCTCCAATGAATATTCACACAACCCCCTAATGGCTTTTATCCTCAGCAGGAGCCAGAGATCCCTTACATGGAAGGGTGAGGGGAGGAGGTACAAAGGAACCTGCATCCTTCCACCAACACCTCTGCTGCCTCCCTGCCCCCAAACAGGAGGGCACTGCTGATGCCTAAAGCCATCCCAACTCTTGCATGGCTTGGCACAGCCCAACACCCGCCAGGAGAGGCTCCAACCCCACAAGCAACTTCCAAGTTCATCCACAGCATGAGGGTGGCCAGAGCACATCACCCAGCATGGCAGGATTTCATTCCTGCACCCTCTGAGGACATCAAGGCTTCAGGAACTCAGCACAGAGATGGGCTTTGCCCACCTCTGTTAATGCAGCACTTCTGGCCTTTCATTAGTGAGAGCCAGAAGCAGCAGCACTCTGCTCTCAGCCAGCTCCACCACCCTGAGTTAGCACCCCACTCCTCTCAAACCCAAGCCAAAGCCAGCTGGGACACAGGGCCAGCTCCCTGATGCTCAGCTCTGCTGCTTCAGCAGCATCAAGCCATGTAGCAAAGCTCCATTTCAGCAGGGGACACCGGGGAGCTCAGTCAAGCATCTCAGCTGTGCTGAAGACAGCAAGCATTTGGTCTTCAGGAATCAAAGCCAGCCAAAATCAGATACCACCTGATTCACTCCACCAGGCTCAAGTCAGGAGCCTGATCCACCAAAACCTCACTACAGGCCCCAAACACCATGAAGGGAAGGGACCCTGTGGGGCTGTTCCAGGCACACTGCCCAGCAGCACATCAGAGCTCTGGTTATGGAGTGCTGTGTCCTGCTGTGCTCTGCACTGCAATGAGTGTGTGGGCACAAGAACAGCCCATCCCTCACAGTCAGTGACTCCTCTGCAGCCATGTCCCCATCACACAGGCACGAGGAGCCTGGCTGCACCCTGCCTACAGAAAACAGCTCTAGGCTAGGCTGCCCTGGCACTGAACCCTGTGCTGGCTGTTCATGCAAACCCTGGTGGGACTCAACGTCCTGCAAAACTGCCATCCCCAGCCCTGAGGCTCCATGGGGATCTGCCACTTCTAAACAATGCAGTTTCCTACTCCTCCACTGAGAAGGCTGGTCCCATACAGAAGGGGCAAAGGACCACTGCTGCTGCTCCTTGGAGGCACCTTGTGTGTATTAGCCAGGCCCAGGGACTACCAGCTGTGAGGGCTAAAGGTGAAGGCTTTAGGGACAGGGGTGAAGGCTCAGTGGGAAGGAGGTGCCTCAGCATCACAGGGAAGGTCAGACAAGGAGGTTTGTACTCACAGGTCACACACACCAGGGCCATCCTGAGGAGCAGGTTGACCAGCCAGCCCCAGCGCTCCGACACGCGGGCCACGAGGGGAGGGATGATGATCTCGGCAGGCACGTAGAACTGCACGGCGTAGGTGAAGAAAATCCCAAAGGAGAAGAGCAGCTTGACAGCTTGGTACAGCCTGCAAAGGACAAGAACACACTGACACTTTGGCTCTTCCTCCAGCCCCTGATAACATCAACAGCAGAAAAGGAAAGTTCTGCAAGGATTTTTGTGAGCTAGAGGTCTCAGCTCCTGAACACCCTTAGAAAATTAGGGGTGATGCATTTAATCACTGAGCAAGAGACAGCAAAGATGTATCAGCTGCAGCCATGATTACACACTCCAGCTGCTGCTTGGCTTCTGAGGAGAGGGAAAAGGACAGCACTGCTGGAATAAGTCTGGGCTTCCATGCAGAGTGAACATCACAATGTTCCAAAAGCAAAGTCATGGGAACAGGCAACTCAGCCTCCTCCATCAAACAAAAAGGAGCAGCTATTTTTGGAATGCTGCATGGTACATGTTTGGGGGAAAGAGAGTTAGAAGAGCAGTTTGGGCTGAGCAGGAAGGAAGGCAGAGTGCAGACAGGCTGCAAACAGCACCTTGGGCTCACCCCAAGTCAAATCTCAGGGTGTCCCAGATCCTGCAGTGATACAGTGTGGCTGCAGGAGAGAGCCCATCACAAGTGACCAAAAGGCACCTCCCATCCCATCTCTGCCCTCAGCTTCCCAGCAGCAGAAAAAGCCTCTCCAAAAGAGAACATCTGGTTACCATACTACATATGGTCCTAACCCTTCCCCAACTGAAGACACACTAACCAAGCAGGAAACATGGGTCCTGGCCATACCACTTGGGTAAATATGGGGTGAATCCAAGCTGAGAAATGCATCTGGCTCCTGCCTCCCCTCTACCTTCTTGGGCCTGTGCCCTTCTGTATGTTGGGTCTCAGCATCCACCTTCTACAACAGCCTTAAATCAGAGAAATCCAAGTATTCCCATGCAAGACAGCTTGGAACACTAGTGGCAGAGTCTGGCAGAGTCAAACATTTCCCACAGATGGAGTTAGGGATCACCTAAGTGAATGGAATGTTACACAAGTCTATGGGACCAGTCCAGATGTATTCAAGGTTGCAGCCAACAGGAGCCTGAAGCCACCTTATCATCTTCAAAAGAGCAGGGTGCTCAGGGAAAGGACCTATTGCCTTGGGAAAGGAATAATATCCACCTTCAAGAAGGATGAGGGAAGGTACAGGCTAATCAGCCTCACCTCAATCCCCAGAAGAATATGGGTTAAGTCCTCCTGGTATCTATTTCCAGGCACAGACTGGACTGTAAACAGCCAGCAGGGATTTGCCAAAGGGTAATCATGCAAATATCAGTGACCTGGATGAGCTTTCAGTGACCCAGAGCACATTCTCATCAAATTCCAAGCAAGATCAAATTGGAGGAAATGGCTGACACAGCTCGGAGCAACAACATGATGTCAGAAGCAAAGCTCAAGTGCAAACACAAATTCCCACACATGTGAAGGGCTGGGGCCAGGAGAACAGGACCTGGGGGTCTTGGTGGGCAGCAGACTGAACATGGCCAGTAGCAGCACCCTGCAGTGATGAAGGTCAATCACAAAGCAGGCTGTGCTAGCAAAAGCACAGCCAGGAGGTGAAGGACAGGAATCAAGAGATTATTTTCTTGTTTGGGGCTTGTGCATTCTGAGTATTGTGTCCAGCGCTGATACTCCAGGACAGGACACTGACTTACCCTGCAGAGCAAGTTGAGTGCAGGCTACTAAAATGGTTGGGGTGGACATGATGTCCAAAAAGAGGCTGCAAGCCCTGGACTTGTTCAGCATGATGAGAAGGTTAAAAGGGGATGTTATTAATCTCTTCAGCTGCCTAATAGGAGGGTATGGAGGAGAGAGTAACAGCTCTTCTTGGAGTTGCACAGCAGAAGAACCAGTTGCAGTCAGAGCTGCATCTTCAAAGGACGGTTCAGGGCCTGGATTGGTAGGGAATCACTGTCCTTACTGACAGACAACACTTAAGCGGGTGAGAGGACCCAGTGATCCCATGGTGTCCTCTCCAGCCTGAAATACCCTGAGGTTCCAGAGGCAAGCTGAACACAAAGTTATCTCCAGAGTCCAGAGTGCACCTGTGCAGCCACACGTGTGCACAGGAGCCTTGAGCCACCAACCCACGGCTGGCATATCTTATCACTGCTTTCCCAAGAAAGGGAACCTATAAAAGCCATAAAGTGCTCCAGGGCAACTCAAGATTAATAGTTGTTAATAAAAAAAGTACAGAAGAAGGCTGTGTACCTGTCCTGCACAGGTCATGAACCATGACAACAAGATCAAAGGGCATTTTAAATACCAAGAAGAGGAAGAATTCAAGCATTACCCTTGATCCACAGAAAACAAAGGCCCATACAGGGCCAGAGAGACACTCTGCCAGCCACAGCAACACCTGCTTCAGCCAGACTGCCATGCCAGGCCATCCCTAAAGGCTAAAAGAAGTGAAACACTCTCCTGGGACCATAAGCTCTGCCATTACCGTCAACTGGCCACATGCAACCCAACAGCTTCCCCCTCATTACAGCATTTCTTCACCCTTCACATAGTGAAGTGAGGCAACCCTTCCTAGGAGGCAAGGAAGGATTTCTGCATAGCAGCACCATATTTTGGACACTGTGGTTAGACCTGGGCACTGGGAACTGACACACTCCTTGTTTGAGGAAGCTGTGGTTTCAGAGAAATGAGACTGGAGAAGTCCTTAGTCACCCTGCAACTCAACGATTCCTGCAACTCTGCTCCAGAGACCTCCAGGCAATGGCTGCACCTAAGGAAGGCTGCAGCACCTCCACCACAATCCTTGCCTTGTCTCCCAGGCTGCAGGCAAACCCCATGACTTCTCACCCACAGCCCTTATGACCAGCTCCTACAGCCCAGCCTTTTACTGTCAGGAAGAAAAGCCATGGGCGAGGCAGGATGGGCAAGACATTCATTTCAAGAGCAAGTCTTCACCCAGCACCTGTGTGAAGGAGTGGTAGTGAAGACTTTATCACAACTGTCACAGCCCTTACTTGAGATAACCCATTTCCAGGTCCAACATCCACTGGCAAGAGGCAACATGCACAAACAACAAAGTGTGCTGCATGACAAGTGACAAGGACCACAGCACACCTTCCCTGCAGCTGGGTGTCACATGCCCACACTGCTTCCAAAGGGCTATTCTCTTCTCATTATCCAAAAACCCTATGGCTACCTTTAGAGAAGTAACTCTAGAATGCTTCACTTTGAGAAAAGTAGTTTAAGAAAAGGCAGAAAGTGTGGATACTCCTAGAAACATGGATTTGCACTCTTCTCTCTGCAGCCTAGCAGGTCAGAGTAATCCCATTCTAAGGATCTGTTCTAAGGGAATGTCATTCCTCAGGGCACCCAGAGCTGAGATTCCCTGCAGAAGCCCCTTTGCAGCATTTCAGGCCAGCAGATGTCATTGCAGGCTGTGGCATGCAGAGCCCAAACCTGGAAAGGATCTGCTTTCCACCTTCAGGAGAAATAGCAGCATCTCATCCCCTCTACCCTGTACTTCAGTTTACTGAGCAGAAGGGATTCACACCTCCTGTGCTTGGCATGGTGGGATTCAGACCTCCCTACAACACAGGCACATCCTTCCACCAGCCCCAACCCTCCTCACTGAGAGCAGGGACCTGGCAGAGCTCCCAAAGCCTGCAGGGGACAGGACAAGGCTCTTGGCAGGAGCGGGATCTTCTACCACACCAACACCAACATCCAGCAGTGCAGTCACTACACAGACCCAGCCTGAATGAACATCCATGCACTCAAACTGAAAACAAACCCACACAGCAATAATTAAAGCAAAACCAGGCTCTATTTTTGTCAAATCTTTGCTGTCTCCAGAGCTCCAGCTGTGCAGCTCTACCAGGACAGCATGTGGGAGCACCAGTGACTCAAAACTTGAGTCCTGCCCAAATTTACACAACACTGAGACAGTGAGTCCCACTGCAAGGTGCTGGGTGCTACTAGGAGGAGAGAGGATGGGCTGAAGTGGAGGACAGGCATCCCCAGCTCCAGGTCTCACTCAGAGACCATCAAAGAGGACTGCTTGCATTTTTCCTGTGGAAGAATATGGAGCTGTGACACTGAGCAGCCACCCATCGTCAGGGACAGAGCAGCACAGATTGGGCAGCTGCTGCAGCAGCCACCAGCCCTGGCAAGAGGAGAAACAACCCCTCCAGGCAGGCAGGCAGGCAGGCAGAGCTCAGCCCCCACAGAAGGATGGGGTATCCTGGCTCCAGTGCTCACAGGCAAAGCATTGGCTCAATGTCACATCTCACTCCCTCTGGGAGCTCCCAGCTTTGGCTTGGTTTTTCACGTGCTACATTTGAGGAAGAGAAGTTTTGCACAATTCAGTGATGTTCTGGTACGGCTGCATGGGGGTTGTGTTCAACATCTGCTAGTCAGTGCATACTGAGCCCTAAAAAGATGCCACAAGGCTCCAAGAAAAAAAAAACAACTGCACCTACCCAGGCAAGGACCTCCAGGGATCCAATGAAACAGCCTGAGCTCCAAAACCAGGCTCAGACACTACAGCAACAAGACTCTTCCAGCACATGCATCTGACAATCTTTGTCAAACTCCTTGAAGTTTGCCTATGGCAGTTCCTTAAGCTCACCCAGATTAGTGAGGTCCCCCTCTCCCACCTGCCTATCTGGGCCCCTCATTCCACACCCCCCAGTCCCACTGCCCACAGGGACTCACCAGCAGTTGGGCAGGTTGAGTGTAATGCTGGCCTGAATGTCTGCCCCGAAGCGCAGGTAGCCCAGGACACCCAGGCTGATGTACAGGATGGTGACAATGCTCATCCCCACGTACAGGATCACTGGGAACTGACGGGGCTTCTTCATCTTGTTCTCCAGAGGCAGCACCTGGGACAAGAGGAGGAGGAAGATGACAGAGCAACAGATTGCTCATTCCTCTATACCCCCCTCAGCCCCAAAAAGAAGGAGGGGCAGCCCCATGGTCAAGCACAGCCCACCATGCCAGGATTGATAGTCCCACATGAAGCCTGGAGAATCCAGCTGGGAAAAAAACTACACTGGAGATCCAATTTCTGTGCTCCCATTGGAACATAGCAAGTCTCCAACAGATCACCCACACCCTTGTCTTAAAGATGGGACCTGCTCCCTGCCCCTGGGAGCAGCTGTGCTCAGTGCTGGGTCTTGGGGCAATGCCAACCACCCATATCTTGGGTGCATTATGCTCTGCACCTCAAAATAGCACAGCCATGCCCACTATTTTACACCGTGCTATTTTCCCCATTAAATTCTGGGAAGACCAAGACACATTCTCCTCTGCTAGCAAGTTTATCTGGACAGATTTCAACCAGGCAGGACAATAAAAAGAGCAAGGAGAGGTAATTCTCCCACCTCTATGCTACTGACACTAAATATAGGCCTTCAGCAAACAATTTTATAGATGTCCTTGGGTGGTGTTCATTTCAAGAAGAGAGACAATGGCAGTCTGGTGAGGAGGCAGGACAAGAAAAACTTTTATTTGCTTCTTCACCTCCAAGTCATGTGAGGAAGAGAGCATTTGTGCCTCAGTGCTGGCAAGAACCCTCTGCCCAGGGCACAGCATTCAGTGAGCACTCCTCCTGTAACGGATCTGGCCCTCTCCAGCCCTGTGTTTACACAGCCAGCTTACATTTAAGAGATGAAAACACTTTTTCCTCCTTTGAAGGGAGCTCCCGGAAACAACTCACAACATCTTAGGGAGTAATTAAGCTCTCCACCCACCCACCCAGCTTTTTTCACAGACACAGTTGGTCTATTTACAGCATCTTGCATGAGAGGCCCATTTGCATGGGCAGGCTGGGGCCACGCTGCTGCCAAAGGGAGATCTCAGTGTCCATGCAGCAGAGTGGGAAGGGAAGGATCACATCTTTTCATGCCACACTTTTTGGCCTCCCATTTAAGCACTTCATGATCCAGCCTGTTACAAGACTCAGGACAATTCCTCACCTGCAGGTCAGCCAGCAGAGCCCAAGGCAGAGGCTGGTGTGATTCCCAATCTACTGCCAGATAAAGCCAGCTTTAAAGCAGCAACCAACCTCATGAGGTTGGCAGCACGAGCTCCTCCAGCCTCAGATGGAAGCACCAGAGTTTGACCCAGGAGATAGCCTGGAGCTAAAGCTAACAGCACCATCCAGAATTTGGGCTACTGTCAGAAAAGTGCAGCTGCAACTGCAGCTGCAAGGCAGAGCAGGTGCTGCAGCAAGTCCGAGCAGGGCTGAGCCTCCTGTGCAGCAGCCCCACTGCCACATGCCCAGACTTACCACGCCAATGCCTTCAAAAGCAAAGATTGCAGTGCCAAAGAACAGAGGGTAGGTCTTCCAGGCTGCTGCTAGAGGCAGGTTTCTGGGATCAGGAATATCCTGGAAAAAAGCCCATGCAGAGTTCAGACACAGGGAAGACATGGCCTGTTCCCATCACTCCCTGTCACAGCCCCACGCTGCAGGAAAAGCCCTGCAGAGCAGAGGGAACCATCATGCCCACAGGAACAAACAGGACCCCCCAGCATCCAAATACCCCATTGCCAAGCTCCCTCCCCCTGCCAAAGCATGGGAGAGCACAGGAATGAGAGAGGGGAGCCACACACACGTACCCTGACGATGTACTGGTAGATCACTACAAGGCTGCCAAGCATGGCCACGTTGGCCAGCATGGAGAAGATGGACAGGACCTTGAGGTTCTGGATGAAGGTGAGCAGCACCACGAAAGGCAGGATGGACAGCATGTACAGGCGGGAGTCCATGGTGGGGGTCATCACCACTGTCCTGTTTGGGCTGCAGTCATTGGTGGTCCCATTTGCAGCAGACACAACCTGGGGAAGCACAGGAAGCCCTGGTGAACTCCATCACACAGGTCTAAAAGCCATAGATCTTAGCAGCCCACCCAGGTGGGTCAGAGTACCCCAAGAGGTCACTTCAAGCAGAGATAGCGGATTAAAATCAAAGCAACAAGCTGTTTTCAGATAGTTCTGAAGCAAATCCCTGTTATCTTGCAGGGGGCAGAGGTGGGACTGGCTATGGCACCTGAGCCAGAACAGCAAATCCTGCCCAAGCCCAGATACACAGAGGAGGAGGACTCAGCAGCCAGGCACACAGGGGCAGAAAGCACAGGCTGCATCTTTGCACTGCCCACAAGGCCAGCTGAGAAGAGAGGGAAGAGGCACTAAGTGCTATTTCCAAAGGAATCCTTTCCCTCTTGCTGCACCAAGTTGTTATTTAAGTCATACAGTCCTTCAGTTCCCCAGTGCCCCACGCACATGCAAGGACACCTGCAAAATACTGCCGGCCCCAAGTTCACGTTCTCATGCAAAACTATTCTTTCCTTGGGGTCTTTCATCCCAAAGGCACTTCAGGCCAGGTGCTCACTTCTAGAGGCAGCTCAGGCCCAGGGAGGCTGAGCCATCCCTCCCAAGAGAGCACGGGCTCCCTGAATCACCAAAACAGCCATGACCAAGCTGGTTCAGGTAACAGGTCCTGTCCAGTCACTGCAGCAAAGAGCAGTCTGCAAACTGATTGAACCTGCTCCAGAGCAAGTCCTGCCCCAGAGGAGAGGCTGAAGAACTCTGTGTAAACCAGCATCCTCTGTGGGAGAGGGCAGTGCAGGGCCATGCACCCAAGGGACAGTGCTGCTCAAGCCCCAGCCTGCCCTGCCTCTTCATGCCTTGCTCCAAAGCCATTTTCCAAACCAAAGCCCTGCCCAACACAGTGGCACCTCGCCCAAGGTACCACCTGCACCATGACTCTCCACCTAACATGCTATTCCTCACCACAAAAAGAAACAAGCAACACTCCCCTCTCCCCACCCAAAAAAATTCCAAAACCAAAGCCAAGGGGTTTCCCACCTGTGGCCTAAAAAACTAGTGTGGATTTGCAGGTTTTTGAAAATTTCCCCTGAGGCTTGAGACAGCCTTCAGTCTTTGCTGTGAGGGGCTGAGGAGAAAGAAGCCCACCTTGAAGTGGGGCAGGGGGCTGCTCCCAGGGGTGGGGGCCAGCAGCAGCCTGGCCCCTGCACACACCCTGGACCCTCCTGCTCTCAGGGCTGGTGGATCACCAGTGTTGACCTATTTACTCCTCCTGCCACCCAACAATGGGAATCTCCTCACTGCTGCTCCAAGAGCAGAGGAAGAGTCTCACACGGGATGGACCTCCCCTTGCTCCCCTCTGAAGCTGATGGCCACCACTGAAGAGCTGACAAAGGGCACAGCCATGGTGGCAGTGACCAGAGCACTGCAGCAGGAGCACATGGGGAAAAAAGCTGAGCAGTGCCTGCAAGGCACTGAGCTGTTGGAGGCTGGGAATGGGGACTCATTATCCCCAGTTTCTTGCAGAACAGGAGCCAGCCAAGCGGTTCAGGGTTTCTGTTTATTTCCTCCTGAGGCCTGGCAGGAAGAAACTCTTTCTCTACAGATGTAATTAAGCTTCAGAGCCACAGGATGAGGAAAGAAACTGGAATGCAAACAGATCCAAGGAAGGGAGAAGAGAGGTTCACAGCAGGCCCTCGGACTTACACGTTACCATCGACACCAATAAACCAATTACTGAGGGGGACAGGATAGAAAATGCACAGTCCCTCTGCTTTCATCCCTTTCCTGTTGTTCCCTCACTAAGGACAGCCTCACATTTCCTGGGCAACACAGACACCTCCAGCACCTCTGCAAAATCACAGAGAGTCTCAGGAAAACCTGCTCTGTTTGAACAGGAAAACCAAACCTCAAAAGTATCTGGGCAGAAGAGCGGACTTTTCAGAGCAGCATATCCTACAGAAACCAGACCTTTGGGGGAAAACAGGGCACAAGAGCTAAGAAAAACCCAAGCACCTTCACACCCTCTCACCTCCCCCCAGCTCATGAAGGAGGTGTAAGTCCAACCTGTTTCAGATTGTCCGCCAGAAAGACAAAGTACACACAGCAGAAACCCAGCTGAGTGATGATCAGGAAAAGTCCCACTATACGCCTGGAAGGCAAAAGAACAGCATCTGTCAGCCAGATCAGAAGATCTGCACTTGCAGAGCACAGCAATGCTGCTGTCCCCAAGGTTGGGGTGTACAGGTCAGAGCACACCCAGCTCACTTCTCTGTGATCAGGAGAGAGGACTTTCTCTCCACCCAGCCTCACAGATCTCAGGCTCTCCAGTCTCCCCATCCCATCCCGTTCACAAGGTCAGGACCAGCCTCAGGAGAAAAGTCTCCTTTTTGGGTTCAGCACATCCAGTCTGTTGCTGAATTGTCAGAGCTGGAGGCAACACTCCCTGGACACAGGAACAGGTGAATGCTCCCACCCCCTGATGGGCAATGATCTGTGTGATGCAATGTGGGACACCCACAGGGCAGGGAGCAGCCACTGGACACGTTCCATGTCTGGCAAGATGGACCAGCACTGCAAGACCCTACTCACCCCTTTGTTATGCTGTGGAGACTTAGTTATCCCACACATTCAGTGTAAGTCACATCTGGCTGGGGACAGTACTGGATCAAAGACCTCAGCATTACCCTCTAGGGGACACTGAGCACTCAGGGCAGGTGAGCCAAGCAGCATTTTATGGCGCTTGTGCTTATCTGCTGACACAGCTCAGTGACCAGAGGCCCTTCTGTCCCAGCTGCAGCACGTGCTAGGCTCAAAGAGGAGTCCCTGCCTGGGGCAGGGGAACAGTACCTTCCCCAGATGGCATGTGTCCTCAGGCAGGCACTGGGAGTTGCCTCCAGCCCGTACATCACAGCACCTCCATAGTCCAGGAACTGCTTCTGGAACCTGTCCAGAGAAGGGAGAAGGATCATCACATCAGCCCTGTCTGTTAGTTCCCAAGGCAAATAGTGACATTAAAAGGAAAACAGTTCCTGTGAAAAAGGAGTTCCCAACTGAGGCTTTGGCATGGGCAACTTGCTGCTGAGGGGCTTCAGAAACACCCCAGGGCTTTTTGGGCAAGAGGGAAGAACTGTAGGAGTTGCAGGGCTGAGAAGGGGAGCTGCTCCTTACCTGTTGCAGAAGTGATGGGCACATTTGACCAGGATGCCCATGCAGTGCACAGCCACGACTCCCATCACCAGCAGGCTCAGAGGACCCAGCTGCAGGGAAGAGAGGGGGAAGGCTGCACTCTGATGGCCACAGGCAGAGCTGCACTGTGCCTTCTACTTCCAGACAAAATTCCACGGGCTGGGTGAGTGCAAACACTGCTGGAGGCTGAACCAGAGCTTTGGTGCTGCTCCCAGGAACCAGCCCCCCAGGACCAAGTAACCTGACAGAGCCATGAGTTTGGCAGGAACAATACAAAATAAGCACGTTGGGGCAGTTTGGGTGTAGCAAAGCACTTCTAGGATTGTTTTCCAAACTATTTTGCATATCTGTACTATGCAGGTGATGAAGATGTCATGACCTGGACACAGTGTCCTGCCTGACCCCAGCAGAGGAAACCATAGGCCCAGCTCACACATTGATCTCCCCCACACCAGGCAGCAACAATGCAGGAGCAGCAGGAACAGTTTCAGCAGTGAAACAAAGCCACAGAGCTTAGGGTGCAAACAGGAGCAAGTCACCAAACAATGAGAAGTGTCTGGGCATGGACTCAATCCCCAGCACCCCCAACACTGGCCATGTGAGCTGCCCAGTGCCTCGGGGTCACTCTGCCCCACAGGCTCCAGCACAGCAGGGCTGAGCTGCCTTACCAGGATGCCAGCATTCTTCACAGCCAGAGGCAGCCCCAGCAGCCCTGTCCCAATATTCCCCTTCAGCAGATGGATCAGGGTCTGGTACCACCTGAGGGAGAGCAGATGCAGAGGTCACTGTCAGCAGGCGCCCATACCCAGACCATACACAGCCTATCCTGTTAAGGGTCCACAGCAGCTCTGAACTGTTGCAGGGAATGCACATGGACCCTGTCCCCTGAACCCAGCTTAACCAGCTGGGACTGAGCTAGGTGTGAAAGCAAAGACTAAACAAACAGATTTTGGATGGGCATTTGCCATACCAACTTTATGGTAAAACCCAGCATAAGCACAGCCCAGCACCAAGGACCTGCATAAGGAAGTCTCTGAGGTGAAGGGATCAGTCTCTCTCAGGCAAAGACAGCATCCTCTGCACACCTGGGCACAAGGAAGCCCCCAGAACACGGCTGGCTCTGAATCTGGGCATGCTGTTTGCTTGCCAGAGTTCCTCATCGAATGAAGGTGGAATGGATAAATATTGGGAAAAGCATCAATCACTGCCCACTGCCAGCAAGCCCAGCTTCACCAGAGAGCAAAGAGCTACACTGGGGCAGCTCACTTGGTGCCAGCACCCCACAGCTGCAGGACCACAGCTGTGCCCTCATCACCCTCATGAGAACTCCCCATAAAACCACAGTTCCACCATCCTCTAGCAAAGGCAGCAGGGAGCCAGCATGACCTCCTCCACCCTCCCCAGCGCCAGGCCAGCCCAGGAAGGAGGGAAGCATCACTCACGTTGTCCCGTTGGTCTCCCCGAAGCGCTGGTAGGACTCGGGGTGCGCGAAGCCATTCATGCCATCGGGAGGGCTGCCCTCAGGCGTCACATCTGTGGAGCTGTAGTCATTGTAGTCCTCGCTGCGGAGGCGCCGCGTGGACATGGTCCCTGTGGGGGCAGTGCCATCAGGGGTGCCCAGCTCAACAGCCCCATCCTCAGGCACCTTGGGGTCAGCCATGGTGCAGAGAGAGCGGCTCGCACTGCCAGAGCAAGGTCTGCTCCAGGGCTTTTATACAGCCACATGCTCCCGCCCCAGCAATCACACAGCTGGCATGTCCTAAGGTCAAAGGTGCATGGCACATTCCCACTGGCTCTTCCTTCAGGCTGGTGCCCATGTTTTGGGCACACCCAGACAGAATGGGGTCAGGATCCTGCAGGCAGAGCCTGGATGTGACCCAATTCATGTCAGGCATGGGAGCTGTGCACCCCTGCTCTAAGGGTGGTGAGCGTGACACCACAGGCAGCGGGGTAGGAGGGGACATGCTGGCACTGTGTCCCCTGCTCTGGCACTTGGGACTAGGGCTGTCAAGTGGACGGGCCAGGAAAGTGTAACTGCTTTTAACTTGCACACACTGTGCTGCAAGGGAACAGCTTGCTCTTGCCAAGGAAGGGAAAGTTTCCTAACTTCTCTTTTTTTCCTTTTCCCTTATTGAAGAATTTTTATTGAGGAGAATTTTCACAAAAATTTATACTCCCATTAGTGAGGAGCACAGATCATGTGCTGACACCAAAACACCTGCCCCAAAGGTTTCACAGCCAAGGAGGTGCCTATGGGGAAAAGGGACTTCCCAGGATGAGGCACCTGCACAGCTTGGAGTTCTTGCTCCAACAGAAACTCCAACAGTGTCCAGCAAACCAGGAGCACCAGCACAAGCCTCACCAAGGACAGACACCTCATGCCTTTGTCTGGAAAATAATCAGCTGGTTCAATTCTCACACATGCCACACCCAGTATCCCAAACACCCACTGGGAAGGAGCACCAGAGGCAGGGAAATTATGTGTAAGGCTCTTGCGCCACAGACTGGTGATCCAGTCCCTGCCCCACGGCTCCTCTGGGCTGTCATGCCTCAGGCTTCACACCTGCCCCAGCAGTCCTGGGGCTCCCCCATCCCACTCCCCAACACTGGTAAAGAACTGGGAGCAAGAGGAAGCAGCAGAGAAATGTCACTACTGCAAAAAACTGTCTCGTTTCCTGCCAGAGCTCTTCATGAACCCACCAAGTCATGCAAGAGCCTGCCAGATGCAACCTCAGCACAGACCAACACATCTGGCTGTGCCAGGAATGCTCAGCCTGGGCCACCGGGGTGCTGCTTCACCCACAGAGCACCCAGGCATTCCCCAGAGCACTGCTCTGCAAACCTGGCTGCTACATGGAAAACAAGCTGCAACCACTGGGAGGGTCCAGCCTGGTGATCAGAAGGGTAGCAGGGAGCAAGGGATTTCCCCCAGGTCTGGATGCTCCAGATCCCAGCTGCTCTGGAGCAGTTATCCAGGCCACAACAGCAGTCCTGTATTTCCTGCAGCACCAGGCAACACCAGCAGGAAGGAGCAGAGTGTCCCATGGAGTACCAGGCTCTGGAGCAGCAGTGAGGCTGGCTGGCAGGCAGGCACACCAGAGCTAAAGGCAGCACAATGCATCACTCCTGCCCAGCCTCCTCCCTCCCAGCTGGGACACGTAATCGTGTCCTGAACCAGCTCTGCCGCAGGCAGGGATCCGGCGGGGCAGGGAGCGGGAAGAGCGGCAGTAGGAGTTTACACAAGGAAAGCGTTAGAAGCTGTTTGTCATCACTGCCAGGCCCAAGGGGCAGCACAGAAACCTGGGAGGCTCTGCCAAGCACATGGGCTGGCAGAGGGCAGAGAGAGTGGGCAGAGGGGGTGCAGGACTGGGTTGGGCAAAGGTACCCATCCCAAGGAGGGTCTGCGCAGCATCCAAAGCACCCAAGAGCAGTGAGTTTGAGATAAACACAACGTGCTGACATCACTCTGCCTGATTGCTCCCTGTGGATTTTTTTTTTCCCTTTCAAGCAGGCCCGTCTGCTTTCTGCTTTGAAGAGCCAGGGAAATGCATTCATCGTGACTTGCCTGCCTCGTGTCTGGATTAAAGGTTGCATAGCAGCAGGGAGCGAGCACTCTGCTCTCCCACAACCAACAAGGAAAAGCTGCAAAACTTGTCTCATCCACAAGAAAAACACTTAAAATCAAAGCAAAACCCCATTACACCATTTCCTTGTCACTGGAAACAGCAAAGGCAGGAACATTCCCACCTCAAACCCAACTCCTCAGCCACTCTCATGTGCTTTTTTTGCCACCCACACACAGAAGCAATTTCATCCTATTAGGAAAGCTGGGGGGGGGGGGTTAGTGACAGAAATTTGTCCCTTACAGTGACAGCCCCATGCCAGAAGTCAAAAGCAAGCTGCTACTTGCTGCTGACCAAGACAGCTGTCCCCAGCTGAGCTGGGGCTGTGTGTAGATCAGGAAATCTTCCAGAAAAGTGAGCAAAACTCACTGCTGCTTCCTACCACACATGTTGAATCCTTCATTTCCAAAGCACTTCTTGTAATAATCCGCCTCCTGACACAAAGGAGAGCCAACAACAAGCCCCTTCCCCAGGCCACCATGTCCATGCCAGCCTGATGCCTACCAGTCACAGCATCAGTTCTCTTGTCCCTGTGCTACCCAGTGCTCCCACAGCTCCAAGAACCCCCAGATTCACCTTTCCAGCGTTTCACAGCATGAGCCAGTGCCCTCAGCCCAGCTTCTCCCCACATGGAGGCTGCTGGGCACAAACCCCACCAGTCCCCACAGCTCCCACCGCAGCCAGGCTG